CATTTCTCTATTTTTATCAAATTAAATGTTCTGACATTTGGGATTAAATAATCTTAGAAATAGAGTAAAATAAAATTCATAACTTAATCAAGTTACTAAAAATCATTCCTTTTAGTAATCTGTTTATTTGCATGCCTCAGATTCCAAGGTTCTGAATAATATAGTCTCAATTTAACTGCTTATAAAAATGCTAACTTTGGATTGAAAATAAAAATATATAAATAGTAGTTAATAATAATCAAACACAGCATTAGAGATTAAAACAAAAAATATTACCTTAAAATTCCATTTTAAATTCCAGTTAAGAATGTATGATGTTAATAATCATGTTTGCTTTATATCACTTTTAAACTCATATTTAAACTCTAAAGTAATATTTGAGTAATAGGTAAGCTACTAGGTAGGTTTAAAACAGCTTTTTTAAAGTAAATTTGATTTTGTAATACACTTCAAGAAATAAAATGTAATTATATGTATATGAATGTCTAGATACAGTATAATAAATCAACAGCTTTATATGAAAAATAAAACTTGGTTCAGCAATCCATTCTTGAAATTCCAATTAAAATAGCCAAACTAATAGTAAAATGAAGAAAAGAGAGATTTATCTAATATGGAACTATTCACACTGGGAAGAAAACCCAAGAGATTCAGAAGGCCCTCGAGTCCATATCTTGGTCCTGAAATGAGATTTAAGTTTAAGTTAAGGGTCAGGAGTGTGCATTTCAGCAGTCCCATTCAAGATGTGGCCCTGCCTGTTATCTGGGCTTCAATCTTATTTTGCAAGGTTGTCTAACAAGTTGTTAGGATTGTATGAAATGTCTTTTCTGGGAGCCAAGGCATTCCTCTGGCATCAAGTTTCAGTGTTTTGTTTATTTGTTTGTTTGTTTTCTTCTACAAGACATCACTGTGGAAATTTCAATTTCTTGGTGTCCATTGTCTTAATGTCTTAATGTTTCTACAATGTGGCAATTGTCATTAGTTCTCTCTGTATCCTTGGCCTTCACCATCATGGTCTGTACATCACTTGGTCCAGGTAACTGCCAGACCTATATTCTGTCTCTCTTGCCTGCCCCTTCCTGTCTTTCTAAACTAAATGCCTATTTTGGAGGATAGAGTCAAGGTATTGCTCTCATTAACTGTTGTACTTGAGAAGGAAAGAGAAAACCAATGTAATGACTAGAGATTTGCTGAGACAACTTGACTGTTTCCAAGTGGTGAATGAGATTTAGCTGGGAGGGGTGGATGTGACTAGCAGGTAGAGATGGGTATGACTAGCAGGGTAAGATAAGTATGACTAGCTGATGGAGATGGGTGTGATTAGCAGTATTTTTAATGTTCTAACCTCAAAATGTTAGGCTACCAGAGAAACAAATCTAAGGAGATTGGAAATGTTGAAGCCATGATGTGTTGAAGGTTTAAGTGATATTCTAATAGATAACTTGATATATTACTTGGATATTTGAATCTAGAGAGGAAAGAAAAATTAGACTAGGAGGCACAGGCATAATAAAAGTTATCCCTGAGTTTAAAATATGGAAAAGATAGGATGGCACAGAGAGACCTGCTGAAAAAAAAAGTCACATTTTTAAAATTCAGCACAGAATTAATTTTATTGAATCAGAAAAGGGGAAATAAGGAGTCTTGTCCCTGACTTCTACTCAACAGATTTTGGTACCTCCTGACCCCGAGTTATAACAACCCCCAACATTCATAGACATTGTCAAGTATCACATGGGAAGAGAAACGGAATTGCTCCTCATCAGAACTACTGAATTCAAATAGAATTGAGGAAGTCAGTAGTTCGTTTCAGCCACTAAAATCTTGTTATTGGAGAAGCAGTATTTACATCATCCTGAAAAAAAAATGCTCACACCAAGGAACTTACAATTAAGCAATTTGCACATACCCAAGAATGTAGGGCAGGAAAAGAGGTTGGCAGAGACTATTACTTGACTCCAAGGTGGAGTACAAGTCCTGAACACAGGTGAGACTCAGTTTATCTGCTGCGGGTGGTCTTCTTTTAATCCCCCAGACCGCTCTTCCTTCCCCTGCAGTAACCTTGCCCTCTAGCCAAAGGCTGGAGGTCTTGATAAAAGCATGCAATGTCTCTATCATGTCTAGGCCTGACAGTTTATTACATGAGAAGACTCTGAAACAAACTATTGTCCTAGAGTATGGCTGCTTAGTGATGGTTACCTGAATTATGGCTGTTCCTAATGGGCTTTAAAGGCAGAAACTGTAAAGCTAGATCCGAGGTTGACTACCTGAGTCCAAGAGAGCGGCATGTTGGCCCTCTAGTCTTCTCTCCATTCTCTTCCAAACTGCAACTTTTTACACTTAGTAGTGACTTCAAGAAATAGGAAGTGAGTAAAAGTGCAGGTCAATGGGAATGCGTGAGAAACATTGGCAGTTAACACAAAGGCATGAGGCTTCAAAGGAGTGTTTTCAATGAAGAACTACTCCATCAAGAGTGGGCTATGGCATCCAATGAGCACCAGGAAATCTAGATGTCCTTTGTTGTAGAAATCAGTAAAGTGGTTGGAAAAGACACTTCTTTCACAGATAAATAGATGATGAAGTTATTCATAACACAGCCCCCTAAAACAATGCTGCTACTTAAGAGTTGTAGCTGAAGGCAGCAGTCTATTTTTTTAATGTACCAAGAAATGGTAGCCATAGAATTCCTTAGCACAGACTTAAAACCAGAGACAAATCTTTTCATTAGATCTTTACCAACTTGAGATGAGCCCTGATGGCGGTGCAGAAGAGACCCAGAGGTCTGGGCAGTGTGGGAGAGCTGGCCCTGCCCCTTGGCGGCTGCAGCACTCAGAATAGCCAGTACCTCACCTGGGCAGCACGTGTGATACAGCTCGCCCTGGTGATGTGGGCACAGGAGACCCAGCTCCAAGGGTGTGAGATCAGGAGAGATGGCCCCGTCCCTTGTTGGGGCAGTGTTGGAGAGCTGACCCTAATGGAGAGTGCTAGAGCTGGAGGGGTGACCAGCTCAACACCCTGGTTCAGATCCAAGGTTTTTGAGTTGGCCCACCCTAACATCTACCCAACCTGTGGACTGCTGGAGCACCTGAAGGAGCCTGTCCTGCAGAATTAATGATACAGGCTTTCCATGATGCAGGGCAACAAGATATCCCAGAGAGTCCCAGTGAGGATTCAGCACTGACAGTGTAGAAGCCAGACGCCTCGAACCAAACCAACAATTCATTCCAATTAACATTTGCAAGTAAAGCTGTTTGGAAAAATGGGTGACAAACCTTGACACGTTGCAGCTTTCACGGTAAGATGTGGTTTTTTGTTTCATTTTTGTTTTAATTTTGTTGTTGTTGTTATCTTTTGGGTGGAGGTCGCAGGGGAAAAGGGCAGATATGGAGGGATGGGAGATGAGTGGGATTGGGGTGCCTGATATAAAATTCACAAAGAATCAGTAAACTTTTTTAAAAACCCAAAACCTAGACATGTTACCAAGTGCATATAAAAGGGTGGGGGTAAAAGATCTGAGAGGACAGAACCAAAATTTCATCAACTGCTACTTTAAAGGCCTTAAGTTTTATCTTGGGTTTGCCACACCAAAAACTTTGAGAAAATAATTTGTATTTGAAAAGGATCTTTTAAAAATTCAATACTCCTGCAAGAGAATTAATCCCATGTATGAGGGTTCGACCCTTATGAGCTGCCTCCCAACTGAAAGATTTGCAACTTAGGGTACATTCTGCAGTCTATCAACCAACATGTGTTACCAAGGAATGTATACTCACTGAGCCTTGGCTTTCAAGAAGAACAGATCTAATTTCCAGCAAACCCAAGTAAAGTTTACATATTGTACATGCCTGACTCGCCAAAATAAAAATATTTTGTGAAGAGGCCATAACCAACTCCTTTTTCTTCTCCTTCTTAAGATTGAGCAAAGAGCTCAATCAAAGAGCTGTTTATTGAGGTCCTATGCTCTCTAGGTTTAAAATATTTGATCCCACTAGATTACAGTTTAATATATTCCATGAAATTGGTAATTTGTCTGTAGAATGCCTACATGGATGACCTTATTACAGCACCTTCATTTTGAAGCCCCATGGGAGAAGCATTCACCCAGTCCTCATGATCCAAATGCACTTTCTAGGTTATGCCTTATATAGTAAAAAAATAACTCAAATAAATACCCTGTCTCTTCAAAAAAAAAAAAAAAAAAAAAAAAGCTCAGAGTTGAAATTGTTTTTAATTATTAAGTGTTCAGTTTATCAAAGTATATATTTGGTTTTAAGTACATTCCAAATTATTTACTGTGGTTTTCACATATTTTGTTGTTCATTTAATTTTTAATTTCCTTACTTCAATTGTACTTGAAGTGACAAAATATGCAAGCATAGCTTCGGTTACAGGAAGACCCAGAAATTGAAGTAAAAATAAGAAATGGATTGAAGAATGTTAAAGATGTTATTGTTCTAAGTTAAATGAAGTAAACTAAAAGATACAATGGAAAAAAAATAGAATCTACATCTATAGTACATTTCTCTATATACTGGAATTTATTAATCTCACACAAAAAAACTTTTTCCAAACAACCTCACAAGCATCTACAATGACCGCAGAATGCGATTCTGATTAATGTGAAATGGGAAGAACTACTTCTATTACTTATGTAAATTACCACAGTATGTTCCAGAAAACATAAATTGTTCCAAACACAATTTTGCTAAAACAGCAAAGAAGAAACCAATTTTTTTTTGTGTGTATGTGGGGGAGGGACAGGATCTCACTTTGTAGCCTAGCTGGCCTGAGATCAAGAGATCCTCCCGCTTCTACGCCTGAATGTAAAGGTGTCATATGCCTGCCCTAAAACCTTTTCTCACTGACACAATCATTTCAAAAAATTATAAAGAATTCAAATAATAACTTATTACTATGAATTTTATTAGTTTGGTGCTGAACTGAAAATTTTAGGTTTAATTAAAACCCAACAGCATTACAGAATCACACATATTAATCTATTCAGCTTTTGCATAAATGTTAAGTTTATTTATAATAAAGTCCATTTCAAAATACATTGATGATGTGAAAACACGAACAACATGAAAATAAAGACTCCTGATTTTTGAGACTGCCTTACGATGAAATTACCCTTTTAACTTCTTTAGTGTCAATTCTGGGTGAACCAAGATGGCCTCTTTATGCTTCGTTCAACAATCCTCTTCCCTTGATCCTGCTCTGACGGTTTCTCTCCTGTGTATAGGACCACAGTCTCTACAGAAGGAGCTTTAAAAGGGCCCCCCTCTTGAGCCCATATTTGTTGTCTGATTTTTTTTGTCTCCTGGCGAACTTTCTCATAGCAATAGCCACAGACGACATGTTTCTGCTTCAGGTGACCACATTCAGGGCAAATGTCTATATTGTTCTTTAAAACAAACAAACAAATATCCATATTAACAACAGGCAATGTAATGTACAGTCACCAGCAAGAGCCCTAAAATGCTGACACTGTAGCTGTCTGAGAATGTTCACGCTACGTGAGGTTATACACTATCTAGTTCAACTTTAACAGAAAAAATACAAATATAGAAACATTGACTTCAAATTGGCAAGAAAATTATAACTAAAACTCAAGTTTGCCAATCTAGTATACTTTTACTTGTATAGCCTCTGGGTAAACTATTCTCAGATTCTCTTGTCTAGCTTCTGGCTTGAGTAGAATATTTTCATTATGTGTGTGAGTATAGTGAATTCCACATTAAATATTAAAAACATAGTCAAGGAATAAGTTTGGACATTTTTACAGAAGAAATGTTTGTGTAGATCCCGTGCGACTTTTGAATTAAGAGCTGTACGAGTCCTCTGACTTCAAACAACAAATAACAAATGAGGAGCCCATCAACACAATGAGGTGATCCATCGAGGAAGAGTTAAATTACTTAACAATCCATGCTGAGCCAAACAAGATGGAAGACTAGTATAAAGCTGGCTTCAGTCAGGTTATTCAATGGAAAACTTGAGGAAGAGCCTATGTGCATGTGCTGCGAGAGTGTGCATGTGGGTGCAGACATGTACGCACATACATGCACACATGCACACACACACACACACACACACACACACACACACGCACGCACGCATTACCTTAATTTTAATAAGCTTCCGAGGGTTTCTTCTCCTACACCGATTAACTTCAATGGTGCGTCTGTTTTTGGGAGCTGCCATCCAAAAGATACTCTCTAAAAAGCTGGAATTCTCCTCATTTCCACTGGTATCGTGCGGTAGTTCTGTGAGGACAGATGGACCCTGGACTGCTAATGCTGGTGCTATAAACACAAAAACAAAACCAAAAAACAAAACAACAAAAAACAGATACAGAATCAACTTCCAGTTCCTAAATGACTATTTATAAATACTATTTTAACAATATGTGTATTGCTACTTGACATACACAAGTATAAAGTACATGTGTTTGTGTGCATGTGTGCACATGTGAGGGGTAGAGGACAGCTTCCAGAGTCAGGTCTCGCCTTAAACCATGGAGTCTTGGGGCTAGAACTCAGGTCCTGAGGCTTGGCAGCAAGGTCCTTTACGACTGAGCCATGTGGCTGGCGTGACATACGTTGTTTAGAATGTTAAACTCAATAAACATTAATAATAAGCCCCAGCTTTCAAAATATGCTAAAGCTCAGACAAAAGACAGTTTAAAATAATTCAAAAAATGTTTTGTTAGTGCAACCTACCGAAGCACCTGGTCTATTAGGCATTTCTACTCTTTTGCACTATGGGATACTTGGTTTAGTAGTAAATAATCTTTAAGTAAATCTAATGTTGAGATTCCCTACGTGGACTCTGACTAATACTGAGATGACTATACTGGCCATCATCTGTACCACAATATCCAGATCCAGTTAGCTCTTTCATCTTTAAATCTGATAGGTTCCTTCCTTAATATTTAATCTTGACCTGTGTGCTAAGAAAAGTTTTATTATTTATGAGACTATAAAGTGCTTCACTTCTGGTTTCCTAAATTGCTTAGATCACTCCTTTACCCTTCCTTCTGTTCTTCAAACTTGGAAAAGGTCGCTCGATTCTTAGGACTTCTTACCACTACATGAGCTGTCCAAGCATATACTTGAAATCCCAGAAATCAGGAGGTTGAAGCAGGTTGATCAGTGGCTTAAGGCCAGACTGGACATGGATAGGAATGTTGTCTCACCCTCCTTTTCCTCTCCAAAAAAAGAATAATAATAAAAAAAAGAAAACAAAGGTTTCTATATTGGCATTCTTTCTCAACAGACCTGAAGTATTGTTACATATAGCCCAGTCGTTTATAACAGCTTTGGACTGCCTGAGTGACCTTGGGGTTTTCTTGGCCTGTTAGACAAGGAATGTATTGAAATGAGCACACGGAGACAATTTATTACACCATGTTTAAGACATAATGGAATATATCTGTGTTCAGACTGTCCAGGCACTATCACTTCTAGGATATGCTGTAAATAACAAAGCAATTTAAGTTTTAACATCCAAGATACCAGGAGTTTGAAAGTAGCCTGGGCTACACAACGAGTTCCAGACCACCCTATGCTACAGAGGTAGTCTCAAAAATAAAAAATAAATTAAGAAAAAGAAAATTGACCAGACCCCCCCCCCAAAAAAAAAAGCAAAAACGCATGAGCTGTTCCTTTCATACAACCCGGAAGCCCTCACCAACCCACCCTCCAAGCACTGTCTCCTTACGGACCCCACTGAGGACTGGCAAAGCCGTTCCAGCTCTGCTGCAGTTGCCGTTGCAGCAGCTCCCAGCACCTCTGGAGCGGTCCCGGGTGCCCTGGCCACCGAAGCGACAGCAGCAGCAGCGCGGGAGCCATGTTCCTCACAACAGCGGGACGCCTGCTGGGAGCATGCGCACGTCCGCCCACTCCCCAGACTCCCTGCTAAGAGCATGCGTAAAGCCGCTCCTGCGCATGCGCACGGGTCAAAGTCCGGCTGCCTCGGCTCTTGAAACTCCAATTCCCAGGTACCCCTGGGCCGATTCTCCTCCAATCAGAGAAAAGAGAGCAATTAAAGGAAACAGACGTACTGCTCATGGGCGTGGCTGTGTTCAGACTTTCCGGCTTAAAGATGGCAGAGCGCGGTTACAGCTTCTCGCTGACTACATTCAGGTACCCGGGGGACCCCAGGTTCCATGAGTCGTAGGTCACAGGAGCTCCCTACGCCTGGTCCCGGTGTCCGGGATCTGGCTGGTGTTTCCGCAGGATCGCGTGGGGATGGGGCTGGACTCGCAGCTTTGCAGAGTCATGTTTGGTGCCAGGCCTGGGCCCGGGCCCGCAGTTACGGGTTGAGAGCCCAGAGGCCCCGAGCCAGCCACTGGCTCTTCCTCTTTAGACTAGAAAATGGGTGATTTGGGATAGCCTGTTTCCATCTGGTCTGTTCAGGCTTAGGATTCCCTGCCTGGCCCAGAGTGGCCTGAGCGGAAGCTTCGGAAACCCTGACTCCTGGTAATCCACGCGCCCCTTTTCCTTTTGGGAAATATTAAGTCTCCGTTTAGCAGCTGTGTGCCTTGAAGCTCACGCTGCTTTCGGTTTCTTCTGTGCTCCCACAGAAGCCCAAGAACTACAAAATGAAAGAGCTGATTTCCTGTCAGGTTTTCGTGGCTCACTCAAGCTGATAAGCTAAAGTCGATGATTTGCTTGCTCCGTTAACAACAACAATAAAAAAAATGCTTTAAAGAAGATTTAGTCCTTTCTGTTATGAGACAGAAACTTAAGTAATTAAATTTATTTTCTTAAAGTGCAGTTGAGGTGAACCATTGTTCCTTGTTTAAGAAAAATCACAGAATAGTTTAGACAAAGGACTGAGGTTTGACATTTTCTTAAGGATCCGACTGAAATCTGAAGGCAGACTGAAACTACTTGTTGAATAAGTGTAATACTGGTTTTCCACTACCACCCATGTATGATGAGCTATGGATTAGCTAACCATAGCTTAGACAGTTGAACTTTTTTAAGGTTGCTCACGAGCATCTATGGCGATATTGAAACTTTGTTCGTTTTGAAAACAAAAATTAATATAGTTTTTTTACAATATGCTGTCCCTCTTTTTTTTTTTTTTTAAAAAAAAGCCCTTTGCAGCTTCAAATAAGAAGTAAGCACATGCAATTTTGTTTTTATTGTTTTCGAACCTTTGAGTGAATTCCATTTAATTCCGTAGCGAATTATTTCATTATATACGGGAAAGAGGCTAAATTATGCAAGGTAGTCACTTCGTTTGCAAACAAAACAAACACAGCCTTATGCGTGGTCTCACTGGAGCTGAGAGAAATGAACATAGATAGATCAGAAAGTGGTTTTTTTTGTTTTTTTGTTTTAAATTTATTTTTGAGACAGAATTATTTGTAGCCCGGGCTGGCTTAAAATGGCCAGTGACCCAGGATGCCCTTCGACGGATTCTCCGTCTCCAGTCCCCCTGTGATGGGATTATAGTAGTACACTACCATACCTGGTTTATGCTGTGTCATGCATCCTAGGCAAGCGCTGGACCATAGGAGTTACATCTTCTGCCCCTGAATCTTCTATAATGAACATCCGAATGTTTTCACCGATTTCCTTAATATAACAAAACTTTTAAAACTTTTAGTTAAAAGTCTGTTTAGGAAGAAAACATTGTTTTTAGTCTTAAACTATTGGTGGTACAAGCTGCTAGAAGTAGGAAGTGAAGTGAGTTCTCTTAGAGTTTACGTTTGGCTGAAGATGATGAGTGAGCAAAAGAAATTGGTGCCTACTGGTGTGAATTCTGCAAAATATTTTTCTGTTGCTGGGAATTTTATTGAAAGGTGTGAAAGGAATATAACCTCAGACTGATTTGTCAGGAAAGGCCTACACCTGTTGATTTTTGAAACTAGGAGCTAGGAGCTGGATGTTTGAACATTTAAGAATAAAGACAGAACAAACCACAGTGAAGAGGGAGGTGTATGGATGGGGCCAAACCTGCAGGGTAGACAAGAGAACAAGAGTATGCCAGTGTGAGTAATTTTTGTTTGTACTGAACCAAGAAGTCAGTACAGGATTTATTTCGGGGCAACAAGGTACAAAGGTGGCTGCTTTGGAACTGAAGAAGAGAAGCAAAGTAATTAAAAGCCTGTTAAAGTGATCCCAGGTAGATGCTGGTGTTGTCTCACGGGTCCTGGGGTTACTGGCCACAGAAGCTGCCTGATTGCATGGTATGCTTGCCTGGAGTCCAGGCTGGTGAGTGGCGAGCAGGCAGTGGAGTAGTGCTGTGCTAGTCAGAGATGGGGAACAACAGCAAGGCAGGAAAGAGGGTTAGTGCCCCTGCATGCGGATATCCAAATCTTGCAAGCCAGATTCCATCTCAGTGGCTGGAAGGTTAGACTAGTGAGCTTTGACCTCTCTGTCTTCCTCCTGTCAGGCATGCCTATAGGAAATGCCTGAAAATGTGTGAATAAAAAGAATACCTTTGGTTCTTTTTCAGCCCATCTGGTAAACTTGTCCAGATTGAGTATGCTTTGGCTGCTGTAGCTGGAGGGGCTCCTTCAGTGGGAATTAAAGGTAACTGAATATTTTGTTCACTTCAGATGCTTGTTAATAGTTGAAGTAGATATAAGTGCATAATTCTTAACAGTCACTTTGTTAGTTTAGAACATTTTGAAGTTAAAAAATAATTCTGAAATAGATAAATTCTTAATAGTCTTTTATTAGAGAATTTTGAAATTTCAAAAAAATAACATTCAACTCAATAATTAAATTTTATAGCAAATACAGTATGTTAATCTATTGTGATAATTCATACGTAATTTTTTTCCTGAGAAAACGAATATTGCTTTATTTTTTCACTGGTTCTGTTTTTCTCTGGAAGTTTTATCTTCTTTATAAAGGGCTGTTTGTCAAACATCTAAATATAAAATTACTGTATGTTCTAGTATCCTTGTAAAGAAATTTATCATTTATATTAGAAGGATTAACCAAGGTAATTGTTTTAAAACCAATAAACCTGAAGATATTGAGGGAGCTTGGCTAATACTTGCAGCTATGGGGATTGTTTGTTTGTGTGGTATAAATGACCAGTGACAGAGATAATTTATTATTTTTTTAGGTAATTTTTGTATAAGAATCCAAAAAAGGTTTTGTAATCTAGAGATAGCAACAAGTTTGTTTAATACTTAAACTTGTAAGTAGAAAGCTAATGAGAAACACGTTGTAATATTTGTCTTTTTTTTTTCTTTTAAGCTGCAAATGGTGTAGTGTTAGCAACTGAGAAAAAGCAGAAGTCCATCCTGTACGATGAAAGGAGTGTACACAAAGTGGAGCCGATCACCAAGCACATCGGCTTGGTGTACAGTGGCATGGGCCCAGATTACAGGTGCTATATCCTAGTTAACTGTTTTTCCATCGCCTCGTATTTAATCCCTCTGTGTGGTTGTTTCAGTCAGTCATGGCAGCTTGATGAGAGCTAAGTTTAATTTGCCTGTAAGGATTACTTAATGGAGGTTAATCTTGTGATACACTGTTGTAGAAGAGGTGATAAATTACATGCTTTTCTCACCAGTGTTTTTTTTTTTTCATCACTATCCCATTTCCTCCATCCAAGGACTTGGTAGGAAGGGCTTTGGTCTTCTGATGCAACTTAATGATTTGATTAATGATTAAATGCATTCATGCTATAATAAAATATTGTTACGGTGATTCAGGCAACAATGAAAGCATGTACCATGTAGACTAACATCATCCTGTTTATATCTGCTGTTGTCAAAGGGATAAATGTCCTTAAGGCCACTAAGGGCTTCTGAGTGGCCAGCCAGGACTCAGGCTGGTAGAATCCCTCCCTTTGTGTTCCACTGGAAAAGATAGTAACACCTGTTCCGTTGGGCTGTCAGTAGGTTGAAAGAGATTGACAGCTTCCTTTTTGTCATACACAACTAAAAAGAAAACTAATGTCATAAAACAAGATAAGAGTTTCACTTTGAATTATAAGCCAACAGGATTCTCAGAACATGATCTGCTCTCCCGCCATGGAAAATTCAACACCACTGTGTAGAATGAACACTGTAGTAGACTGCTGTGATACCATAAACTGGGGAAGGACGTGTATCAGACCAGGCTGCTGCTCTTTAGTCTCTGCTGGAATCCTGAAGAGGCTGTGTTTAATACTGGTGGCAGCAACAGGACAGACACGAGCTAGCTAGAGTGAGGCAAGGAGGCTAAAAGCAATTTCTGCCTTTGTGACCTTTTTATCTGTGTTGCCACCAGAAAATGTAGTCCAAATTTAGGGTGGGTCTTCCTGCCTCAAATAATCTGATTTTTAAAAATCCCCTACAGGGTCTTAGATCCGTGTTAATTACAGTTCTAGTCATGTTGACACAACCAAGATTGAACATCACAATAGTACGAGTCCATGCGTGATGTAGAAAGTAGTTTCTTACAGTTTCTGTAATCTTGGAAGGGCTATTCTGCATTGTAGGTGGAGTTGAAGTAGACTACAAAAAAGACAAGCTGACAGAAATACCCAGAATTATGTGTGTGTGCATCTGTGTTTGGGATGGCTAGAGAGACGTTTAAATGGACTTTCCTCAAGATAAGGGGGCAATTTAGAAGAAGTCACAGAAACTCTTGTTCTATAAATTAAATCTGTTACCTAAATAGGATATTTTTCCTGCATCTGTATCTGTACATCATGCATGTAGTGCCTCAAGCTGCTAAAGGGGCCATTGGATCCCCCCAAATTGGAGTTTAGATGGTTGTGAGCACCATGTGGGTACTGGGTGTTGAACCTGGGTCCTCGGAAGAGCAGCGAGAGCCCTCAACAGCTAAACCATTTGTCCAACTTTCAACTGTACTCTAGTCCCTGCTTCTTTCTGTTTGTCTCCTATTGTAAGTCTCTGATGTTTCTTTCCTTAATCCACTGGAATTAGGTGTAAAGCGTGAGACTAAGTCTCCATGAGAGCTGCTAAAGAGAGACGCATGCTAAGCATGTACAGTGTGTTTCTGAGGAAGAGAGTTGTGGGGTCCTTAGTAGAGTGTCATAATTTTAACTTTTCTCTTTATTGCCTTAGAGTGCTTGTGCACAGAGCTCGGAAACTTGCTCAGCAATACTATCTTGTTTACCAAGAGCCCATTCCCACAGCCCAGCTGGTACAGAGAGTAGCATCTGTGATGCAGGAGTATACCCAGTCGGGGTAAGTCACTTTATCACTTGGAGAAATGTATCATGAATTTGAAGAAGAAAAAATAAAGCAGATAAGTACAAGTCTTAGTCTCTCTGTATTTGCTAATCAAATGAAGGAAATCACTAATAATTGTTTTTTGTTTTGACTCGAAATAATTTCTTAAGGTAAAATATGTGTTGGTGCATACCTGTAAACAGTACTGGGACACTGAGGGAGGTAGATCACAAATTTAAGGCAAAATTGGATTCCATAGTTAGATACTGCCTCTAAAGGAAGAAAAGAAGGGGAAAAAGAATGTGTACTTACCCAGCAGCAGAGATTTAGATTTTAAAAGGGGTCTTTACCAGTGCTTTTTTTAATCTTTAGTGCCTTTGTACTTAGCTTTTCAACCAAAGTGATTATGAGCACATGCAAACAGTAGTAACATTTTAATAGCTATATTCTTTTTATAAAAAGGTTTATTTGTTCATGTGTTTTATGTGTATGGGTATTTTGTCTTCATGTATGTCTGCACACCAGAAGGGGATATAGGATTCCATGACAATCATAAGACTGCAGTTAGAGATGGTTGTAAGCCACCAGATGGGTGATGGGAATTTTACTCAAGACAGGAGAGCAGCCAATGTTTAAACCTCTGAGCCATTTCAGCCCTCCAATATTCTTAAATTACACTGAGTGAGATAGTTTAAAGGCACTTGCTGATATGTAAGCCTGTTGGAAAAGAGGCATTTATTAACTTGTTAGGAAGTCTTTTTTCATGCTTAGATAGTAATACCATTATTTATAGGTGTGTGTCTTAGTTCGCTTTGTATAGCTCTAACAAAATATCTGGGCCAGGTTTTATTTTGCTCAGGTCTTAGTTACTACCTGTCCAGGTTTGCTAAGGTTTTCTGTTTTCTGGCAGTTAGGATTGCATGGTCAGAGGTCACAATGAGAAAGGAGAAAGTGGGCAGTGGCTTTCTTCATAGAAACAAACCCACTTTTTTGAGACCAAAGCCTCTCTGGGAAACAAGCATCAGTTCTTTTCTCAGGATGGAATTTATTAAGTCTTCACCATGTTCCACCTCTTGAAGATGCAATTTTGTAATTATGTTATACTGAGAGTTATTTTCTGGTGAACTTTTGGGGAGTGAAACCATAACAGGTGATATATCATTTGATTTGGATTTACTGCTCTTCGTAACGGTAAAGAGAACGCATTTTATATTGGTTCATTTAGAAGTTAAAGTTAAGTCTAACTCAGTTTACTTGCTGATCTACTTGTGAATATATATAAACTCTTACTTTATTCCAAATCATTTTTATTTTCTTCCTACAGTGGTGTTCGTCCGTTTGGTGTTTCTTTACTTATTTGTGGGTGGAATGAGGGACGACCGTATTTATTTCAGTCAGATCCATCTGTAAGTATCATTACATGTATTTGTAAGACTTATTAGAATTGTTTTTTATATGTAATAAAAGTTGAAACCAAGAAACGTTAACATTTAGTAGCATTTTTTTTTTTTTTTACTTGTTTTTAAAGATTTATTTTAACCTGTAAGTATAGGTATATGTGTGTGTGTGTGGGGGGGTGTTCATGTGACTTTACATTCCTGTAGAGGCCAGAGGAGTTGGTTACAGGTAGTTGAGAGCCATCTGACCTGGTGCTGGGGCTAGAACTCGGGTGTTCTCAAAGGCTAAGCCATTTCTGAAGCCCCTTCACTTTTTTCTTTTAGAAAGTAAAAGAAGTACACATTTGTTTGAACATTCAGTTTTTTGTTGCACCATCTTTGATAAGGAAGCTATATTAGTTTTTGCCCTGTTTTGGTCATATTCATTAATGTGTACTTGAATGAATTGTAGTTATCAAATTTCATTAGGTCTCTTAAACTCTTAAAATATCACTTTCTATTTGAGTCTTGTTAGAAATAAAAGAGAAAACATCCTAATACCTTGTTTTCCTAGTCTTCAATGTATTTAGTAGTGATATTAGTTCATTTCTTAAGGATATAGTTCAACAATTTAGTCAGATGTGTGACAAGAGGCTAGGTGTTACCACCTTTGCCATTAGTTTGATGCTGGAACTGTCATGAGTATGACTCTTAGAACAAAAGCACTGATCTAACTTGAATTCAGTGTTTTTCAAAATGATTCTATAATTGCTGTCTTGATTGAGCTGTTTCTTCTAAAGCACAGGGTTGATATTTGGATCTGAGTAGTCCACATTTTATCATTTGCTTTGAGGAGAAGCCTAAGAAAAAGTTCAAGGGTAGGGAGTGAATTTTTGTTTATGAATTATTAGGTAATTATATGTTCTCTCCATGCAAGCCATACAGTCTTACCTTATAACTGAAATGGCAAAATAAAAGTAATAGATTGTGAAACTGTTTGTGAGCTTCTGAAGCTAAATGGCTGGCCTGCGGTTTTGCCTTCCTAGCCAGTAGAGGAGGCATTCCTTGGGTTCCAAAATCCTTTGGTGATTTTTTTTTTCTTACTGACTCTAAAAGACATTTTTCTAATCTATCTGATAAGCTTTCCTCTATTTGTATATGTTTTTGATTTTGATTTTTGGTTTGGTTTGGATTTTTTTGAAGACAAGGTTTTTCTGTGTAGCCTTGGCTGTCCTGGACTTGTCTGCTTGCCTCTGCCTCTCTGAGCACTGGGGTTAAAGGCATATATCACCAAGCCCAGCCATATAGGGCTTCTTAAACATTCCACTTGCTACTCCTTTTTACACAGGAAAGTTAATTGTAACCATGATAAATGTAAAATAAGTACACAAATCAAATATTGACGAACAGTAAATCAGGAAAAAAAAAAAAACAACTATCTGAAAACAGTTCTTTGGTGTACATATAATTTTACCTTTTATTAAAAACAGAAGCAAGTTTGCATAGTATTGAGATGTATGGGCTTGTTTGTTTTTACAGAAAGAATTAAGTCTTTATCAAATGTTAGAATCTGCAGGGCCTTGGAGCTTCAACAATTCCAGAGTTGATATTTTGGTTTATACTTGTCAATGCTAAGAATACCACTTCACAATGAATCCTTGCTATGGAAATGTCAGAAAATGCTCAGAGTCATTTCAAAAATTGTTGAAACCAAAATTCATTTAATAATTTTTTATGAAACTTAAATCAGTAACTCAAACAATTTTTAAAATAAAAATTCTAACAGTGGCATCTAGGCTGAGTAATGCTGACAGGAAAACATTTATTCCCTGTTATTAATTCATCATGTTTCTATAAAAGCAGAAAACTTTTTAATCACAGTCCAGACACCACAGTCTCAAGTCTGTGTTGATTGGTATTGTGTGGTGTGATGGCCTTTTTAATGCAGGATGAGGCAATGTGGTGATGTCACTTAGGTAGTATGGGGAGAGCTGCCTAAAACACCTTGGATTTTTTGCATATTGATTTTGAACTAATTTTTTTATGGTAAATATTAAGGAACCTTTCACTGTTGCCAATATTTTATGAGCCCACTAAAATCAAAGATCCTGATACCTTCAATGAAAAGCCATCTCTATTCACTGAAGATGATGAGTGATGAGTGCTCACTAGTTTTCAGGATAATGTGACAGTTTTAGATTCGTACAGTCCATTATGTTTAAATATTGTTCTTGCTATTTAATTCCTATTTCCTTTTATCTAGCCTTTAAAATACATCTTTATTTTTCATTATTTGCACTTACCGTTATGTGTTTGATAAGTTTTGATATGTGTATATATGTGTACATACATAAACACCAGAGTAAACTATTACCACAGTTAAAATTAACCTCTGAGTTTCTTCATGACTCTTTGTCATTTGTTCTACAGCCTTTAAGCCAAACCTTTTCTGTGGAACTGCCATTTAACTTCAGTAAATAATGAGTTTAGAAGTTAGAGAGCGATTAGAGTTAAACACAGTTATCAGAGTACTATGGTCATGTGAATGTTTTAAAATGTTTGTCTCTCCTGATTAGGGAGCTTACTTTGCCTGGAAGGCCACAGCAATGGGAAAGAACTACGTGAATGGGAAAACCTTCCTTGAGAAAAGGTAGGCTTCCCAGGATTGGGTTCCTGGGCAGACTGATCTAAATGGATTTCAGAACTCTTAGAATGATAAATCTCATGGATCTAACAAGCTCATTGTATCACTTTCTATTTGAGTCTTGTTAGAAATAAAAGAGAAAACATCCTAATACCTTGTTTTCCTAGTCTTCAATGTATTTAGTGGTGATATTAGTTCATTTCTTACGGATATAGTTCAACGTTGCTTCGTTTTTTTATTAAATATTTATTTAAATGGGGTCATGGGGTGGTTGAGACAGTTCTCTTAAGTAGCCCCGGCTCTTCATGAACTCACCGTGTAGACCAAGTTGGCTTCTGACTCACAGGGATCCATCTGCCTCTGCTTCCTGAGGTGTGCCAGCATGCCCAGTCTTTGGTTGTTTCTTAAATGTTTACTTTGTAGTTTATTTTATCAATCATATTTCTTAAAATATATATTTAGAGTAGAATGTTTAATAATGACTTATAAAAATTAAAAATGGAGGTAGCTGGATATGGAGGCCCATGCTGTATCCTGGTGATTGTGAGGCTAAGGCAGGAGGATTGCTTCAAATTATGGAAAGCCTGGATTACAGAAGGCTGTTTCAGGCTATGCTACAAAATAAGGGCCTGTTTCAAACAAAACGAAAATTGTAAGACCAGTAGTTGGTATTGAGCAGATCACATGATGTCTGTGTGTGCTAAAGAAAACTGAGGACTGAGTAAAAATTTGCTGTTGATGGTGAGCACAAACAGCTGCACTCACTCACAGCTCAGTTGTGGATTCGTTGTGATCACTGTCCTCCACAAGTCTCTGATGTTTTGAACAGGATGTTTTATAACTGAGGTGTAACAGATAAAGCCTCTGTATATTTTTCACATAATATTCATGGTGAGATGATTAAAGATCTTAGACTTTTAAGCAAATTGTAAACTCAGTCTTGATAAAGCAATTTAGCTTTTATGTATTAATGAAAGGCGCATGCTGTGGTGTAACTTTAATAACAAGATTTTAGCGACAGTCTGACTTACTGTAGTATTGCTAAAGAATACAAGTGCATTTTTTATGTGCATTAGTGTGAAGGTGTCAGATCCCTTGGAACTGGAGTTACAGACAGTTGTGAGCAGCCATGTGGGTGCTGGGAATTGAACCTGGGTCCTTTGGAAGAGCAGGCAACACTCTTAACCACTGAGCCATCAGTCCAGCCCAAGTGCACTTTCATAATGAAGTTTTTTCCATGGTGTTAGAAGTTCATTGGCAAGCCTCACTCACTTTATTATTTGGGGACAGTGGTCTCATTGATGATTAGGGAATGCTTTTACAACTTAGTATTTTTAAGAGGGTTAGATTAAAAAAAAAAGATTTCATGTTTTTACTATCCTTTTATTTAAAATAGTCGTCTAAACAGTGCTGTAACATTGTGGCTTTCCTTTTTTTTTTTTTTTTTTTTTTGTTTTTAGATATAACGAGGACCTGGAACTGGAAGATGCCATTCATACAGCCATCTTAACCCTGAAGGTTAGTGCAGCATTTACCAAGTAAATGTAAAATGTTCTAATGAACTGCTTATGAAATTGACCATTTTCCTTCTCTCCTTAATTAGGAAAGTTTTGAAGGGCAAATGACAGAAGATAACATAGAAGTTGGGATCTGCAATGAAGCTGGCTTTAGGAGGCTTACCCCAACTGAAGTGAGGGATTACTTAGCTGCCATAGCATGAAGAAGATGCCTGGACAATCCAGATCTCACAGCCCATCTACTTACACATGTTTAAAGTATGTTTTGTTTGTGCAGACTTATTTCTACATGGTTTAATGGATTCACATTTTTAAGATAATAGTCATAATAAACTGTTAAAATCAATTTGTAGGTTCCTTTAAAGATTTATTTATTTATTATGTATACAGTGTTCCGCCTGCATGTATGCCTGCACACCAGAAGAGGTGACCAGATCGCATTATAGATGGTTGTGAGCCACCATGTGGTTTCTGGAAATTGAACTCAGGACCTTTGAAAGAGCAGCCAGTACTCTTAACCTCTCAGCCATCTCTCCAGTCCCCCAATTTTGTAGTTTTTAACAGTAAAATTTGCACATGCTTTCTCACTTCATCATACATTGCAAAGTAGAATGATAAAATCACTCTTTTCATATATTTTTATTAGATCTTATTGTCCCCTTTACTATCAGCTACAATTCTGGTTTTTAATATAAAGGACAGCTCTGGTTTTTAATATACATCATGGCTTTTAGAACTATTGATAAATTCATGAACTAGGCTAGGAATGTGTTCAGCGCGTTGGGTGTGATCAGTGAGGTCCTGGAGTAGTCTGCAGTGGTACTATAGCAAGGGAGTGTTAAACCAAATCAGTCTCCTTCAGTAAACAAAGCATGGTGTGCTGTTTGTTTCTCCATCTCATGTACATAAACTGTAAAAAGATTCCCTAGATTATGGTAGAACTTTCGTAAGGGTAAATATAAATACTGGTAACTAAATACTAAGGTCAGAGCTGCACCTCCCTCTGTAAGGTCCTTCGAAGCAAGCAAATAGTTGGGGTATTTAAAGCCATTCCTTTGTGAAAGCATGGTGCATTATTTTAATCGGATTTCCTCCACCCCCAGGCATCTTAGGATAAAGACACTCTTATAGAACAGGCTGTTTATGAATGTTGTTATCAATATGAAGAGGTAGACAGTTTAAATGTAATGTATGGTGTAATAATTGAAAAGATTTTGACCAACATTAGATAAAATTTAGAAGTAGCTTTAGAATATTTTCGACAGGGTATGCTGTTTACGTTCTACCATTACTATATATCTGTATCTTGTTAGTGGGAGGCAGTGACATTTTAAGAGATGGGAAGGTAGCACCTTGACCTTCAGGAGTTACTCGTGTATTTACTGCATGTCCGTGGTTTGTGTGTGGGCACGTGTGCATGTGGGTACCAGTGATTGATGCTGGGTGCCTTGTACGGTTATAGTGTCTATTTTTCGACAGTGTCTGTCACTTGATCCCAGAGCTTGTGTGCTCTGTAGATGCCATCTCTACCTTCTGAATGCTGGGACTAAAGCTGCCCCTCGTGTCTGTGGGTCCTGTTTACCCACAGTTCTCACACCTCCAGTTCTCACACTGCACTGCAGGTGCTTGAGCTGTGAGCGTTACCCTGTACTGCTCTTCTACTTTAAGATAGTCTTGAGGGGTTGGAGAGATGGCTCATTGGTCAAGAACGTTCATTGCTCTTACAGAGAATTTGGATTCAGTTCCCAACACCCACAACCATCTATACCTCCAATTTCAGAGGAACTGAAATCCCCTTCTGACCTTCGTGAGCACCAGGCATACACACATGTACAGACATACATGCAGACAAAACCCAGAATAAATTTAAAATAATAAAAGGTGTGTCTTGAGAGCATTATCTAAAAATGGGCCTTGGTGTATTTGAATCCAGAACAGTAGTATAATGAAGAGTTTTTTAAAAGTCAACTTTTAACTTAGTAGCCGGCTGAGTGTGCAAAGAAATGAGAGCAGTGGTTCTCAGCATATGGGCCGTGATCCCTTTGGCTGTTGAACGACCCTTTCACAGAGTTTGCCCAAGACTTTTGGAAAACATATTTACATTATGATTCACAACAGCAGAATTACAGTTAAGTAGCAACAAAAATAATTTGGGAGGTTAAGAACCACTGAATTAGAGGCTTTTTTTCCCCTTCCCTTTTTTTTGGGGGGGGTGAAGTGGGGGAGCGGTTAAACTTGATATTGTAGGTGAAAAGACGGATTTCTGTTAGCTGCTATTCAATTTGGTTAGCTCCCTGATGTTCAATATTAAAATTTAAATCAGGATGTCTGGTGGTGGCTGTCCATGCTTTTCATCCTAGCATTCAGAGGCAGAGACAGGTGCATCTCTTGAGATTGAGGCCAGAATGCTCTATAGAGCTACAGGGCAGCCAGGGATACACAGGAAATCCTGGGTCTAAAACCACCAGAAGAATGTCAACATTTATAAATCAAAGAGAGGAAAGCAAAGGTACATAGGACAGGAAAAGTGCAAACAGGTGCAGCGGAGGCCATTCTGTAGAACAGAGAGGTGAGAAGTAACTGAAGCAGATTAGATTCAGGGTCAGCTTTCTTGTGCCTCTGTTAAATACAAAGCTGCCAAAACTCCATCCCCTTTGTTCACAAGACTGAATAAAATAATTCTCATTGGCCTTTGTCCTGGTTGTTCTAGAAATCCATTCTTTGATGTAGTGACCCACTGAATCCTCAAATATTCTTAAACCATTTTAGGCTGGTGGATTTTAGTTTCTTTTAATCTTGTGTGTTATGTTCCCAGTGTTCATAGCTTCTCCCAACATTTGTTTAAATTTGTATCTGAAAGACTTGTCTCTAATTCTTTACCATGAATTTTGCTTCGACACGGCTGTTATTAAAATTAATATACATGGGGGCCAGGTAAAAGGGGACTTGAAAGGGAAAACTGGTTTATAATGGGGCACTAAGCACTTTAGGAAATTTTTGGATTTTCATTAAATTAGCACAGGTGAAAATAACGGACTGTTGGTATGTATTTAACGTAACTCATTTTCCTGTCTGGTTGTCTACAAGCTTTTCAACTCCCCAAGTCTAAGCTCTGCCCCACAGTAAAGAGCAAACTGATGTCACTGGAAGGGATCGTGCTCTCCTTGGATTAGAATCGTAATTTTCTGGTAACCAGTCCAATGGCCCTTTTTGTTACTTACAATTCTTACCGTACAACTTACTTTCTCTCTGTGGCTTCTGGAATTTTCTTTCATCTTTCTGAAGTTTCACAGTGATTTTATTTGCCTTTTGGTGAGCTTTTTGTTGTTTGTTTAAATATGGAGTGCTTCTGGAATTTGTGTCCTCTTGTAGGGGCCATGCTAATATCCTCTTGATCACCCCAGTTTTAGTTAACGTGCTGCCAAAGGGAGAACATTTGCTAAGTTAATCAACATTCATTTCACTGAACACCCAAGTAGGTCCTTCACTACAAAAATTAAAAATGTCAGCCGGGCACTGTTGGTGTAAGCTGTAGGGAAGATGTAATCCTGGCAGAAGCGAGCAGATCTCTGTGAGTTCAAGGAGGCCAGCCTGCTCTACCTAAGCGAGTCCAGGACAGCCAAGGCTACACAGAGAAACCCTGTCTCAAAAAAACAAAACTTTTCTTCGTAAATTTTTTAGTATATTTAAAATTTTCCTGATTATGGACCTAAAGTTTCTGTTAAGTGAATATCTGACTCTTGGATTTTGCTCTTTTTCAATCTCTTACTATACTTTCTAGTCCATTGATGTTTAAAATTTGAGATACTGCCTTTACTTTGAAGAGCTGTTCTCCTATGTTATGCCTCCAGCCCTTAAATGAAGAAGCTTATTTGAGGGCCAAAGTAACTGGTCCAGTTACAAGGTACTATTTAAAAAACTCCTGAGCCAATTCTGTCCTCCAAATTCCAAACGAAAGAATGTTTGGAATTGTTGAGTTTGAATGAGTGTGGTGCCTACCTACTTTCTTGTAGATTGTGAATGTCAAGATTTCTTTGGAGGTTTTTTGTTTTGTTTTGTTTTTTCACTGTTTAGAGGGGAAAGGTGGAAGGGATGAGTAATGGAAGATGGGAGCACCCAGAGGAGCAACATTTTAATCAAAAAACTTCGCACTTCATAACGGTGCCTATCTTTTGTTGGGCTTTAATCTAGCACCCTTGTTTACCTACACCATAAACTTATTTCTGGGGAAGTATGAAGAACAGGCCAGCTATACCAAATGGAAGAGAGAACTCTCATGTGTTCTCAATGAAGTTTTTTTTTTGTTTCGTTTTGTTTTCTTTTAAGAAATCTATTTTTAATTCTGAGTCCCATCTAGACACCTGAAATTCCAAAGCCCTTCTGAAATTTATGTTTGATAAACCCTGCCAGGTGTTTTAGGCTTTGCTGGAGGCATTTATAGGGGCTGTCCGGGTTTAAATAACTTGTATGTGGCTCGGGAGCAAAATACATCTATCTACCTTTCAGTTTAGGACAAAATAAATCGGTGTGTAAGATGTGGACTAGCACTGGCCGGAGTAAGCACTGGATGAAATACTGCTCCCGTTTTAAGATGCAGTTACTCCCATCCTTCAAGTAGCGCTCAGGAGCTACTTGAAGAAAAAGATGACAACTGAGGTCTAATATTTAAAATTAGGTGTGCTTTCTCAAAATTTTTTTTCTGGGTAGTTTTGGACACTCCACTTGGCTAAATACCCCTAGCTACGCAGTTCTCTGCTCTGTTCGGTCAGGCAGCACATTTAAAGGCTCCTATGCAAAGACCAGGATGGTGCAACTAAAAGTGCTTCCGAGTGTCGTTTGGAGCCTGACAACTCTCCGGTTTTCATTTTTTTTTTTTTAAATAACCAAACCTGAGATCCAAAGAAGTTTTAGTATTCAGGACTCAGTGAGAGCGAGAAACAGCCCTTGACTAGTCTCTGCTCACCCGGAGCTCAGCTTTCCGTTCCTCTGGTGGCCGAAGCCCGGTGCCCTCAACAAACATGGCCGCCGCGCCGCCGCCTGGGACGCGGCGTTCACCCGGCCGGAACCACGTAATGCCGGAGGCGGGACCCAGCAGGCGGAGTGCCTCTCAGCCCAGCAAGGTGAGGGCTGGCTGCTGAGTTGTCCCTGCATACTGCCTCTGTGTGCCCTCGCATTGTGTGCATGGGGTCTGGCGCTGCTGGTGAGGACCGGGGGACTGAGGGAGTGAGTGGGGAATAGAGGGAGGTGGAAAGAGAGGGAGGAGCTGGGCCGGGTATCCGGGCAGGAAGGGTCAGTTCTGCGTCTTCCCTACTCTGGCCTCTAAGCACTGGGCCAGCTGGAGCCTGTTTGATCCGGACCTGTTGGGCCAGGCTCAGCTATGCAGCTGGACGTACCGGGATGGGACCCGTACCCACCCAGAAGCACCTCACCCCTGGCCCTCCCACCCTGCCATTAGTCCAACAGCCAGCCTGGCCACCATGGTGTGCTCTTCCGAGTCCTTCTTCCAGCTTTTCCTTCAGAATGGGAACAGGAGGCAAGTTGGTTGTCCCCTTTGTTCCTGTAAAACATGCTAAGTTGACATCACATGCAGAAAGCAGGCCGTCTTGATTCCTTGGCACCCAGACTCTGGAAATCAACAGACAACTCCTTAAAAGACTATCCCGTGAGGGGGTGCACACCTTTAGTTCCAGTATTTGGAGAGCAGAGGCAGGAGGATTTCAGGACCATCAGGGTATGAAGAGAAGCACTGCCTGAAAAGGCCAAGGAAACAAAAAACACTGACGGAGGCAAAGGAGGTGAGGGACCCCAGTGTGGCCAGATTAGGAGCGATTCTTGTTTGGACAGTTTGTGGGATTTTTAATGTTAAACAGTTGTTTTTATATTTAAAAAATCAATTAGTTCTTTGAGAATTTCATATCACGTGTTTTGCTCATAGTCACCGTAGCTCCCACAACTAGCCCCAGATCGACTTCCTCTTATCTACCCGTCACCACCCCTCCAAGACCAGTTTGTGCTGCTCAAGTAGTCTTGAATGTGTGGACTTCCACTGGAGAGTGGGTGACATACTAGAGGCTACACTCTTAAAGACTGCCACTGCCTCTCCAACCAGCTAAAAATCGCCAATAGTTGCCTGGTTAAGGGAGGATTCTGGGCCCAGCTCCTCTTTCCATGCTGGGTGTTGATTGGTCTGGTTTGGGCGTGCACAAGTTTTGTGGATGCTCTCACAACCCATGGTAGTTCATACATACAGCTGCCTCGCTGTGCCCAGAAGAGGTTTCCTTGTGTGGTCATCTACAACCCATGGCTCTTTACAGTCTTTCCTCCCCTCTTTCCACAATGCTCCCTGAGCCTTGTGAGGGTGAACATACGTGTGTTACGTATGTTCCTTTCAGGACTAAGAGTTATATGCAGTCTTTTATGCTCTGCACCTGGGTCAGCTGTGGGCATTAAATACTGTCTTAATAGCCATCTACTATAAGTAGAAGCCTCTTAGATGAAGGTTGGGAGGTACATTTATCTGTGGGTACAATGATGTCAGTTTTATACTACCTATTGAGCAGCATAAAGCAGTAAGTTCTCCCTCAGGTCCTGTGATCTGCCTGGCATAGGTTCTTAGCCTAATACTGATGCCAGGCGTGGGCTTCATCCTGTGGGACGGGACTTAATCCTACCATAAAATGGCTGGTTACTCCCATGGTATTGATGCGTACTAGTGGACATGTCTTGCCAGGCCAGTCATAATTCTAACGCCAAAGAATCAGAGCTGGGTATTGTTGAAGGTTACTTTTCTCCTCTGTTAGCCTGCGTAATGCCTTGCAGAACCACGAAAACTAGACAGTAGGGGTGAAGCCTCCATGTCTGTACCAGCTCAAATTGTTCTATGGCTCAGATTGGTGGTGTTCTCAGCGTAGGTTTCCATGCGTCTTTTTTGAAATGTCTTTAGTGTTATTTTTCCCCTCACACACTTCCTCTACACTACACTTAACTCTCACCCCAGTTTAACCCTTCCTGTTCCATTTTCCCCTTTAACCCTTTACAACATCGTATTCTTTCTCCTCCTTTAAAGCTCCTCCCCTGGCCTCTTAGTAATGTTCTGATCTCTATGGCTGTTTTCAATTCTTTATATATTCTAGACACTAACCTTCTGTCAGGTGTATAGATGTTAATTTTTCCCTCATTTTGTGGGCTGCCTGTTTACTCAAGTAATGGTATCTTTTGCTGTATAGAAACTTTTTTAACTTCAGGTTTCATGTATTAATTGTTCTTAATGTCTGTGCTATAAAGGTTCTGTACAGAAAGACTTTTCCTATGCCAATGAATTCCAGTATGTTCTATATTTTCCCCTCTATCAGAGTTAGGATATCAGATTTGAGGTTGAGGTCCTTAATTCATTTGGAGTTGAGTTTTGTGTAAGGTGAGAGATAACGATCAAGTTTCATTCTTCTGCATTAGCTTTCCAGTTTGACCAGCACCATTTGTTGAAGATGTTTTATTTTCTCCAGTTTACATTGTTGACTTCTTTCTCAAAATCAAATGGCTTGAGGAGTGGGAGTTCATGTATGGGTCCTCAGTTATTTTCCATTGACCGTGAGTTTCTTTTTTGCTAGCACTATGCTGTTGTCATTACTATGGCTCTGTAGTATAACTTGAAATCTGAAATTATACCTTCAACCTTTCTTTTGTTGTTTTTGCTGACATGGGTTTTTTGCAGTTCCATATGATATTTAAGATTGTTTTTCTTTCAAATTATGTAAAGAATTGTTTTGGAAATCTGATGGGGAGTGTGTTGAATATAAGTGGTTTGCTTTGGTAGGGCAATAATTGTCACACTATTAATCCTACCAACCCTTGATGGTCTTTCCAACTTCTGATATCTTCAATATGTCTTTTTGGCATTGAAACTTTTTTTGTTTATTTAATAATTTTTATACAGTATATTTCTATCATAATCTTTCCCCTCTGAGATATGCCTTCCCTCCCCTCCCACCTAACTTTGTGTTCTAGCAAAACAACAAAGCACACAAAAATCACAGAGTGTTTTTTTTTTGTTGGTCAACTATTTCTGAACGTAAAGCCTGCGCTGGAGTTTGGATGATAAACACAGTGTCACTCCATTGAAGAAAACTGATATTCCCTCTCCAGCATAAATAAATTGCAAATAGCTTCTTGGTAAGGGATAGGACTTTGTATCTACTTTCATGCTGTTTTTTCCCCCCCCCCCCTGGCTTGATTTTATATAGGTCTTGTGCATGCTGCCACAGTCTCTGTAGAGCTAGAGGATTTTCACAGTCAATCTTCAGGAGTCTGTGGGAGGTGCTCAGTACTTCTCCAAAGGAAGGCAGTGAGTGCTGATGAAATTGGCAGTGTGAGTCTTGGCTCCCTGCCAGGAGTGGGGTCCAGAAGGCAGAGATTCATGATTCTTAGGTGAGTCTCAGGGGTAGGTGGAGTTGCTGGTTTGGGCCTAATTCCTCTCCCTTGAGAGAGGTGGTCATATGGTGGAGTAGTTGGAGGCGTGGGTCTGGTGTTGCCCTGAGGAGAGAGCAGGTGTGCACATCAGAGATGCGTAGAGCTGGCTGGAGTGGGCATAGTTGAGTTAGTGAAGGTGATAAGATAGCTGGGGTGGGATGGAGGCAAGGACTTTCAGGGGGAATGGATGGGGTTAGCTGCTGGCTCCCTTCCTGAAAGAGGAGTGTGGGAAAAGGTGCTGGAAGGCAGGCAGGACACTTACTCCTTAGGCAAGTTGCAGGAATGGGTGGAGTTGTTGGTGTGGGTCCTTGAATAGTTAGGATGGTTATAGTTGGAAGTACAATCTGATGTCTGCCTGGAGAATAGACCAGATGTGGACAGTAGGGATGGGTGGAGTTGGCTGGAGTGGGTGGAGTTGAGTTGGGGGTGGAGAGAGTCTAGGATCCTCAGGGCAAGGACTTTCGGCAGGGATGGAATATGAAGGGGTGTGTAGAAAGCTATTTTAAACCTTTACACTTGATGTTTGGAACCTTAAATTTTTCAGTAGTTGAATAGTAAGACTATTGATAGAGATACAAAACACATTATCAGATTCTTGCTTTTTTGTTTTTTTATCCTGATATAGGACATGCTGTGAATGCCATAGTCTGAAGAAATGAAAGTCTAAGCAAGTGTCAGAATCCAACATACTTGAGGAACAGTTCAAATGTACAGCCTTCTGTAGCTGTCAAAGGAAGGAGGCTCTCCCAAACCCCATACACTGAAGCCCAGGTTCATATCCTCCAGCTACATAGACTTTGCTGCTAGATTGGACTTTTAAATCATCCTAACAGTAGCAGTACATTGAAGTGTGCTTCGTTGTTGTCTTCTCTGAAAGGAATAATGCTGTCAGCATGTCTGCACACTCCATGCTTTCTGAAAGAATTTCCATAGCCAAGGAACTGATCAAGAGAGCAGAATCACTGTCTAGATCAAGAAAAGGTGGCATAGAAGGTGGTGCAAAGCTGTGCAGCAAACTGAAGGCAGAATTAAAATTCTTACAGAAAATAGAGGCCGGGAAGGTGGCTATTAAAGAGTCCCATTTACAAAGCACGAATCTAACACACCTGAAAGCCATTGTGGAATCTGCAGAGAACCTAGAAGAGGTCGTTAGTGTTCTTCGTGTTTTCGGCTACACGGATACCTTTGGAGAAAAGCAGACTCTTGTGGTGGATGTCGTAGCAAATGGAGGTCATACCTGGGTCAAAGCTATTGGCCGGAAGGCTGAAGCACTGCACAACATCTGGCTGGGCAGGGGCCAGTATGGTGACAAGAGCATCATTGAGCAGGCTGAAGACTTCCTTCAGGCCAGTCGCCAGCAACCAGTGCAGTATAGCAACCCTCACATTGTGTTTGCATTTTACAACAGTGTCTCCAGCCCCATGGCAGAAAAGCTGAAAGATATGGGCATATCCGTAAGAGGAGACATCGTGGCGGTCAACTCTCTGCTCCATCACCCGGAGGAGTTACAGCCGAGCGAGAGTGAGTCAGACGATGAGGGCCAAGAACTTCTGCAGGTGACAAGAGTAGACCGAGCAAATGTACTGGCACATGTTGCCTTTCCAACAGAGATCAAAGTTGATGTGTGCAAAAGGGTCAACCTGGACATTACTACTTTAATCACATATGTATCTGCTATGAGTTATGGAGGCTGCCACTTTATCTTCAAAGAAAAAGTGCTCACTGAGCAAGCAGAGCAAGAGAGGAAAGAGCAGGTTTTACCTCAGCTGGAAGCATTTATGAAGGACAAGGAGTTGTTTGCCTGTGAATCTGCTGTCAAGGATTTTCAGTCCATTCTAGATACCTTAGGGGGGCCCGGAGAGAGGGAGAGGGCCTCCGCACTAATTAAGCGAGTCAGTGTGGTACCGGACCAGCCTTCTGAGCGTGCCTTGAGATTAGTGGCGAGTTCAAAAATCAATAGCCGTTCGTTAACGATTTTTGGGACAGGAGATACCCTGAAAGCCATCACGATGACTGCCAATAGTGGTTTTGTCAGAGCTGCCAACAACCAGGGTGTTAAATTCAGTGTGTTCATCCATCAGCCTAGAGCACTCACTGAGAGTAAAGAGGCGTTAGCTATGCCCTTACCAAAAGACTTCACCAGCGATGGTGCACGCTAGTGCTGTCCCATAAGTGTTGTGGAAATATGTTATTTATACCAAAGGCTGCCCTTCCCATCTAAATTGGGAGAAAAAAAAGTAAGTTTATAGTAAAATAATATCTAGAACTCTTCCGTGTTTAAGTAGAAGTTCTTTGTGTTTCATCTGTTTAAGGTCTATAAATTAGAAAAAGCTCAAGAGACATCTTATATATCTCTGCATTACATTGCAAACTATATCATTGCAGGTAAAAACAAATATATCTGTGTAAGGCTTTTAGCTATTGTATAATGCTTTTGTTTTCCTCTGTTGGGCTGCAGCCTCCACTACAGGTAATCACAGTTTGTTCATGGACTATAGCTCCTTGATTCTTGAATTCATTAAACATCTGGAGAAAACTCTGAGGCCTGCTTTTCATTGTATTTATTTGTCAGTTGTGTCGATTGCAGGTGGGAAATAATAGTTATTTCAGATCCTAAAGTCTCTGCTTGTTATTAGTGAAAATATCCTAAAAAAAAATTAAAACTAAAACTAGTGCTATTAAAAATTTTAGAAATGAAATGAAAACTAAAATTCCTACAAAAAATAAAAAAATAGTTTTAAATGTTTAATTTTTTAAAACAATTGCTTTGTATCAGACACAGTCTGCTGGGTATGTTTATAGAGTTTATAATTCATATGGAATGAAAGTGAACTTTGATCTGTTGAGTATCATCTATTTATTGCTATACCACTTGTCTTAGCTGTGGTTACTATTGCAGCAAGCTGGAGAGGGAGGAGAGTGTCTTTGGCTTACGTATCCTAACTCACAGTTTACTGAGGGAAGTCAAGGCAGGGACTCGAATCGAGTGGAACCTGGAGGCAGGTTTGATACAGAAGCCATGGAGGGGTGTAACTGCCTCACTCATCCTTCCTTCATAAGGAACCCAGGCCACCAGCCCATAGATGGCACCACTCACAATGGGCTGGGCCCTTCCTCATAAGCCACTGATGAAATGCTCCACAGGCTTGCCTGTAGCCCGGTCTATGGAGGCATTTTCTCAATTGAGGTTCCCTCCTCTCAGATGACTTTAGGTTGTGTCAAGTTGACATAAAGGTATCCAGCACACCACTGTAAAAGAGAGCCTAGCCAACAGTCTTCCTAAGCTATATCTAGAACATTGAAGGTGTAATATTGATTTGGACAAGTTGAAAATGTGTTTTTCAAAACCTAGATTTTTCCTTCAAGTCGGAACAACTCCATATTGCAAATATTTAGGTTATTAAAAACTACCTTTTTTATTCTGTTACCTTATAGCAAGAGCTAATTGCATTACATCATTCATGAAATGGTGATGGGGATAGTGGATGATAGCTGCATGTAATAAAAAATAAGTTCTATGACGACAGTGTACTCAATACTTTATTGTTTACAATAAAACAGGCTCACAAAGTGTGTGTATATTTTCCTAAAGACATTTTTTTTGAGAGTAGTGTTGTCTTTCCTAACTGTAGCAGAGGAAGGAGTTAGCATTGGGATTTGAGTTGGGGTATTGGCAGCCTGATTGCGACTCCCTGCCAACTTCTCTGAATAAGAAGGGTAACTCAGCTTCAAGCAACAACTTTGAGATGAAGTTTGTTCGTCAGCATCTAGGAACACTAAAATGAATACAAAATTTGGATGTAGGGTGGCGCTTCTCTGGGAAGAGGTCACTAAACACATAATTCCTCTCAGGAAGAACTCTGCGTGAATTAGGTGTCAAGTGTGGGGAGGTATGGTCTAGTTTTAGAAGACTAATTTTAAGCACCTATTTAAGCAGGTTCTCAACCTATGGATTGTGACCCCTTGAGGACAGGGGTTGCCTAAAGCCATTGGAAACATAGGTATTTGCATTATGATTTGTAACAGTAGAAAAATTACACTTAGGAAGTAGCAATGAAAATGATTTTCTCTTTATTGTTATTGTCATTTATTACAATTTATTCACTTGTATCCCGGCTGTGGCCCCTCCCTTGTCTCTTCCCAAACCCATCCTCCCTTACTCTTCCCTATGCCCCTCTTCTAGTCCACTAATAGGGGAGGTCCTCCTCCCCTTCTATTTGACCCTAGCCTATCAGGTTTCATCATGACTGGTTGCATTGTCTTCCTCTGTGGCCTAACAAGGCTGCACCCCCCAGGGGAATGTGATCAGAGAACCTGCCACTGAGTTCATGCCAGAGGTAGTCCCTGCTCCCCTTATTAGGGACCCCACTTGGAGACTATGGGCTACATCTGAGCTGGAATTTTAGGTCCTCTCCATGCGTTGTCCTTGGTTGGGGTATCATTCTCTTCAGGGCCCCAGGGATCAGTTTTCATGGCTCTGTTGGTCTCCTTTTGGAGCTCCTGTCCCTTCCAGGTCTTTCTATCTCCCCCTTCTTTCATAAGATTCCCTGCACTCTGTCCAAAGTTTGGCTATGAGTCTCAGCCTCTACTTCGAGATATGAAAGATTTGGCTATGAGTCTCAGCCTCTACTTCGAGATATCTCAATCAGTAGAGTCTTTCAGAGGCCCTCTGTGGTAGGCTCCTGTCATGTTCCCTGTCTTCTCCTGCTTCCGATGTCTATCACATTTGTCCTTCTGAATGAGGATAGAGCATGTTCCCTAGGATCCTCCTTGTTGTTTAGCTTCTTTAGGAGGATAGATTTTAGTATGTTTATCCTACATTACATGGCTAATATCCACTTATGAGTGAGTGTATACCATGTGTGTCTTTCTGCTTCTGGGTTACCTCACTCAAGATGATCTTTTCTAGTTTCCACCATTTGCCTGCAAATTTCATGATTTCCTTGTTTTTAATTGCTGAGTAGTATTCCATTTGTGTAAATGTACCACAATTTCTGTATCCATTTCTCCGCTGAGAGACATCTAGGTTGTTTCCAATGAAAACAACCAATGAAAACAACCTAGATGTTTTATGGTTGGGGCTCACTATGACGTGAACTGTATTAAGTGGCTGCAACATTAGAAAGGCCGGGAATTATTTAAGGCATTAAATAAATACTTAGCGCTAGCTAGAACCAAACAAGATTGGAATAGTTTGGTATGAAACAGCAGGTTAATTTTGAGGAATGGAATGCTTAGTTTGAATGGAGGCAAAAGATCAAAATATAATGTATTAAGTTAACGCTCAAAATATCATGAGTACCTAGTAAGGGACTATTTATTTGATCTGGGGTCACAAGTCAAAAGGGAACGATGGTTGATGATTTCAGGAGTGAAACTTTATAAAGTGTGTTAGTGGAAACATAATGTGATCAAAGAATGTGGATAAGGGGCTGGTAGAAAATCAGGCCAGAGAAATGGAAGGTTTAGTAAAGATAATCAAGATTAGCTTAAGGTCATATCAGATCCCTTTAAAGAAACAACAAAAGTCTGTAGTTTAAAGAAATATATTTTAAGGATAGCTGTGGCCAGAGTAAGAATGCTGGAATTTATTTATTTATTTATTTTTAACTTTACACCCTGGTTATAGCCCCATCCCTCTTTCCTTCCCCCTCCCTCCCTTCTCCCCCCTCCCTTCTTCCTCAGCTTCCAGCCCAGCTCATCAAGTTGCACCAGGACTGAGCATGTCCTCTTCCCCTGTGCAAACCTGATGACCTGAGTTTGATCTAGGAACCTACAGATGCCAGATGCTGCTGTATGCACCTGTACAAACCCTCCTCCAGAAAGAGAGGCAGAGACAGGAAAATCACAGGGAAGATCTCGGGCCAGCTCTCCTGGAGTACACAGCACCGTGGCAGAGATGCCCAACGCATACAGTGGGAGGCACTAACTCATTCCTAGAAGTTGCCTTGTGACCTCTACACTTGCACAATGACAGATTTACACACACACACACAGACACGAAGTTTAAAAAATTAGCTCCTACAGTAAATCAAGATAAGTCAATTCCAAATGAGGTGTGAGGAAAGAAAATAATGTAGTCCATATAAGGAAAAGCTTAAGTCAGAATTCCTGGAGAAGCCTGCAAACAAAAAAGCAGGAAGAAAGAGAACCTCTGGGGAAGATTATTTGTAAGTGAAGATGCTACTTTGGTAAGTTTAGAAAGGGCGTGTTGTGCTGGATCGGCCTTTCCTAGCCAGGACACTGCCGTAGAGAATTCTCATCGCAGCTGTTGATGTTTGCTCATGAGATGAAGGAGCAGCGGAGGCTTGCGGGACCCAGCCACCCCTCCCAACTAGTTGTGTGCATTCATGTGTACCGTACTTGTGGGTAGCCTTGCTCTTTGGGCTTTGGGAGAGGCTAAGGGAGGGGAAGCCCTCATCCTGGCTGGACGCAGACCTTCCAAGGTGGCTGCTTTAAGGTCATCAAAAGCTGATGCCCACAACTCCTCACTCTTTGCTCTCTAAGTAAGCCTAATGAACTCACTGGTTTTCCTGGGTGAACGGTAGTAGAATCTAGGTCAGGTTTGTCATTGAAACCTTGGTTGTGTGTGTGTGTGCGCGCGCGTGCGTGCACACACACACAGGGGGGATGATTTTTAGTCTTCCTCAGGGTGGGAATTCTTGGAACACATTGAAACATGATTTTCTTAGGAAATATGAATTAGAATCAAGGAAAAAGTACGAAACTAGAAAAAGCAACAATTGAAATTATTTTAAAGTAGGTAAGCCATTTTCTATAAAAATGTCCTGGTCTGGTTAGTGTCATCAGACAAGTTTTTAGCTTTAAACATCAAGCGACTCTTGCTTTAAAAGTAATATGGTACCCACCTTACACGGGGGTACACTGTCTAGCATGGGAAGGACAGCATTTTGAGAGGCACCTCTTATCTTCTGTATGCTGGTTGTCTGAGCATCACTGTGGAAACATTGTGAATGTTTCCACATTTATTTTCTAGACTATGAACATAGGTCTGATCCCCAAACCTGGCAACATAGTATAAAACAAAATGTAACACATCTCAGATAAAAAACAAATCTTCACCAGTGGGAATGCTGGTCCTCAGAGAGAAAGAGGGCAGAGTACTCCTCCGTAACAATTGACTACCAGTGAGGAATTGTCCTTCATCATGAGGCAGAATAAGGGCAGGCTAGGATACCACACAGGGAGCAGAGGAAGTCCTGAGGAAGTATGGAGTGCTGAGGGAAAGTGTGTCGTTCTTGGCCACGGCTGTGGTTTCACCATCACATAGACCAGCTTTTCTATGTCCATCTGTTTGTTTTTTTAATTCATTCCCCCATCACCTGAATCAGGTCCCAGTGGGTTTTAATAATTATAATAATTATAGGTATTTAATAATAAACGTTATCAGCTTGTTTTGTATTTTCTATAACAAATCTCCCATGATGCCCTTAAGATTGGGACTCCCTGTAACACAGCTGGAACTTGGGTTTCTCCTTCTACCACTCAAAACTGCCATGATCAAATGTCCATGTTTCTCAC